ACTACATCAGTTTAGTGTCAAACAGATTCTCAGTCTCGAGATCTTTTGCATAAGCAATATGCACAGCAAAATGTGTTCCATGCGCGAGGAAGCTTTCAGATGTATGGTTGCACCTGTGTTCAAATTTCAGAGATTTGACAATTCGTAAAAAAATCTATTTCTCAATCTGGGCACGCCCGAGAGTCGTGAGACACTATTTTTCAACAGATGGTACAATTGAGACAAAAAACGCTGAGCGGCTTAAACTCTTTTTGGTATATATTTGGACAAGTTGTGAGAAAATTACCTACTTACTTAAGGAGGAGGACGTGTAGGAGGAGGAGGAGGTGAGGACAAAAAACGGATGGTTCGGGGGACCGACCGTGCCAATATCTGCGGCCTTTTCTCTCTCTCTCTCTTTTAAAACTGACTGCACACTTTTACTTACTGGAAGAGAGAAAAGAGTGAGAGAATAATTCGAGTCAGTCCAATTTAACTATGTCTGGAAGAACGGAAGGAAAGGATAAGCACTCGCCCGTGTGTGCAGCTGGCTGGCTGCTGCTCCAGAGAGAGTGTGTGGACCATAATAACAAATGGGTGGCAGTGGCAATGGTGGTATTGAACGAGGCACATTTTTTCAAACTTGATTCACTCCTTCGCATTTAATGGAAACGTTCTGTCCTATTCTGCACATCGTTCGAGAGAGCAGCCAGCCAGGCAGGCAATGGATCATGAACGTATGTGTGTGATATGCACATTAATTTATATCTTCAGCATCCTGGCTTCTTCTTATGTAGTTTCCACGCCGAGACGATGTGATGGTGACACCCTCGAGGAAAAAGTCCAGGCGAGAATGTAGAAAATAACGCCTTCTTCATTCACCACAAGATACTCGCCCGCTCGTACGTTGCAACTATTGTCATGTTTTCAGAAAGCCTTTCACCCATGCAATTCTTGTCAATGCCAATTTAAGATGAAGGGTTACACAGACAACCTCTCTTCCCCTCCATCTCTTTGGATTCTCAAGGGATTACCTTTTGCAAATTTGATACATTGAGTTTGTGGTGCACCCAATAAAATAAAAATTTACTAGACAGATGTTCCACAGTTTGCATTGTAGTGTACGCGCATACATATTTTTATCATGTTTTTTAAGATTGCCCTTCCGTTTCTTCCAAAACGCCGAGTAAGACAAAAAAATTGAGAGGGCAGGACCTTTAAAACCGGCACTTTGAAAATATCTGCATCACAAGGAATAGCATGTTCTTATTATTTAATACCATTTGTGTGTGTCCTAGAAAGAACTGGTTTTCAAGTTTACATATATTTCTTTCATTGAGAATTCTACGTTTTATGAACTCCGGGAAAAAAATCTAAATAAATTTCAAATGTGCATGTATAATGAATGAAATGTGTGTTTACTGCTGTGACTCCTCGGTTGGGTAGGTTTGGGGCTTAATGTTCCTCGCATTCTTCGCAACTTTGGTTGACAGTGACGGTAAAGAATTCAAAATATCTGGGATACGATGCCAATTTCCAACCAACCGATTACGCAAAGCGATGTGGTGAAGAGAGTCAGTGTGGAGAGAGAACAAATAACGTCACCTGTGTGGTAACCAAATCGGAATGCACTTTCGGAAGAAGAATGGAGGAGGAAGAAGAATTGCAAGCGATGAGTTGATTTTCACCAATTTTTCCGACATCACTTTCATTCTTTACAAAAGAGATTTATTATTGTTTAAGAAAGTCGTATACGCCAAGGAATTTTGTGAATAACAAAGCACGCTAAGACTTCTTTGTGAGTTTACTGATTAGATTATTTGATGATGATGATGATAGCAACAAATTTTAGCGCATTGCATAATCAAGCCTAGCTAAAGCTTGGTTATCACCATTATTATCTCTCTCCCCCAGAAAGAATGATGCTCAGGAACATTTTTAATAAAGCCAAATTAGTGCCGCATTATTTAATTCTTGTCGAGTTTTGCCCAGTTATTTTGTAATTTCTTTCTACATACACTCGACTCTTGTAATTAACCCATAAAAATGATTTGTTACGACCTAAATTTTAAAGACGGTTTAAAGTGTCTAAAAATGGTGTTACTAGTAGTGTGTACATTTCTTAAGAGGAGCATAAATCAGAGAAACTGTTTGTCCAAAGCACAAGCATAAACGAGAGGAAGAAGAGATGAACAACAAGAATGTTAATTTCACAGAAAAATAGGAGAACAATAATTTGTTGAGATAGGAATTAACAGCGTGCTCAGCAGGGCTCAAACCTCTATGCACCCAAAGCCCTGTGTAGCTGCTTGATTCCATAAAATTTATTTGGTAGTAATAATATTTGTAAAGTCTGCTCCTCTTCTTCTGGTTCTGGCATTCGTTCGCATATAAGTAAATCCATGGTGGATTCAGATCCATGTATGTATGTCGTGGTGGTGAAAATATATTGTTCTCCTATGCTCGGAAAATACATGGGTCGCGTTGTTGGTGAGTTGTTTGGTGGTGGGTGAGGATGATGAGAATTAGGACCGAAAATGTTAATGCATTATTACATTGAAGGAAAGTTTTCCCCATTTTCATGCTGAAATTAAGAGCGGTTCATTTACAGTACATTTGTGCCCTTCCTTTTCTATTATTAACATTAAATAACTAATGCTTTTATTACTTATGCTATTAGATCCATTTCGCTTCCTCCACTCTCGCAATCCCAAATAATTACACAACTTGTGTCCCTTTTCAACCCACATTGTTTCATGTGCTCCTAAATAGGCTGCACGTTATGCAGACTGTTTCTCCTCATACGAAATTTCTTCCATGTTTTACGCAATGCGAGAGAATATGAAAGAGAGAGAGAGAGAGGGCTTGCTCTTTGGTCTCTGATGGCACGACGGTCTGAACTCTGTCTGCATTATACGAGGACGAGGAAGTGGAGCAGGGAGAAAGACGGAGGATGAGCTAATTGTGATTCCCCTAATGTCATAAAAGCTAACAAAAACTTCAATGTCGGGTCAATTGTTGTCCAGATTTCTCTCCCCTCCCCACTTTTATCTTTGGGAGATAGCACATCATTTTTCTCAGTCTTTGACATCCATCCAACATCAGCAGCATCTCGCATTGACCGTAGTGACCATCTGTCCTGGTGGTCCCTTGCTACATATCTGGCCAATGGTTAGGTTATTGCTGTTAAGGTACCGTGACTAATGTGCGAATCGTTGTTTACATCAAATTTTCACCCCAAACAAACCCCTTGTTACAGAATTATGACAACGTGATGCGTAAGGCTTGCCCAAGTAAAGTGTGCACATACATGTGTACCACACACCATAATATTCTTCACTCTGCAATGTTTCCAAAGTGAGGAGAAGTTGTAAGCGCAAATTCGGTATCCGAAATAGAAACGATTTCATTGCATTGTACACACATTGTCAATCGAAAATCGAATCAAGCATCCGACACAGTCATAAATGGTAAACGAATAGTAGTGGATGGAATAACTTGGCCTGTTTCCTTTCCTTATTTCGTCCTTTTGCACACATACAACTAGTTCACGTCATGCTACACTGGTGCTAACTTCAATAGGCAACATTATACATAACGATGTCAAGCTGGTTTGTAGCAGGAAGGTTAGAGGTACGAAAATAAGCTCAAAATTTACATGTGTTCTGCTCCGCTTTTTCCCAAGACACCTTTCCTCGCTGGAGTTTACTAGATTTATGGCTGGATTTCAGTCAAATCTCAAATAGCTTTTGTTTGCCACCGATCTATTTCCGTGTTTGAATTCCTCTCTCTCTCTTCTGAATAAGAGCGTAAGGTCCCAGGTTTTTATATATTTGTTTATTATGATCCTATGCAATGTCTCCTTCCTTCGAACACGAACGACTCCTCCAATTCCGACGTTGACTGTATTGGTTTCGACTGAAATTCATGGACAATTTGTTCACTCGTTCAAACATATAAAGTGAAACTAACAGGTTAAATCGATACAAGTTGATTGGGAGCTTGAACAGGTGTAAAAACTCGTGCATGATTCGTCTCATTTTTTACCCCTCCAAAAAAAAGAGACGACCAAAACAACCTTTGCAAAATCCGAGTGAGACGAACGCCCTGCAAATGTCTCACAATAATGAGAGAGCGAGAGGACCAAGTGCAATTTGCATTATTATTCGGACTGGAAATTAAACAAGTTCGGTAAGTTGATCCCATCATCCATGCGGAAGTAAAAGGAGGAAGAAAGCGAAAGAACGAATGGAACGGCTAAAGCTAACTTAACCCAATTTCGGGAGTTGAACCCGTTGTTGTAGGATTTGTTCTCCTACGCTCCCCGTTGTTGTTGCGTTGGTAGGAGTAAAAACCTAAGAAGACTGATGGGACATCTGAATGGATATAAATTGAAGAAACAAATTTGGTGGAGGTGGCCCAAGCTAATACAACACTAAACAAAATTAGGCTCAGCGCGCATTAATCTCCGCTTTGTAAGTATGAGCCCCAGTTCAGAAATGCCCAAGCCGAGTAAAGTAAACTTCTTTGGAGCATAGTGACTTTCTTTGAATGTAATGAAACAGGGTGGAAGAGGGCTAAAGTTGCATAGTTTTCGAGAATTTCTTCCACTCCACAAGACGAAAATCAATAGCTACCAGAGGCGCCTCAACGTTGTAGTGCATAGTATTGACAATCTATCTGTATCAGAGTGCAAATGAAACGAAGGAACGTTGTTTGCTTAATGTTCCGTCGACAAGATAAATTATTGACTGGAAAGAAAGTCAACAGTGGATCTTCTTTTCCCTTCTTTTTTGTTGTTAAAAAAAGAAGACGAACAAGAAAATTGCGCAGACTGCCTGCAACCCTGCTGCTGTACGTACTCGAACAAACCTCAAAAGTGATAGAGCGTGTAGCAGCAGCCCCACAACAGACGACTGTTGGTCTTTTGCAATAATGTGGTGCTGGCCACAATTTTGGCAGCATTTTGTATAAAAAGGAATCAATGAAGAATGAATGAATGAATGAATGGTCGATCTTACCGAAAATCCGTCCAGCACTGCCTGATGGTGTGTGAAGAGTGAATAGAACGAAGAGCAGCGTGGCACGAGAAGCACAGGATAACTTTAACGCTGCCATAGTTGTTCTTCACTAATTAGTAAAACAATTGCTCACATCAGTAACACTCATGCTAAATAAGATCATCCATGTTGTCTGTATGGGCGAAATTCGTTTCAGAAAAAAACACACTTTCCACAAATGCACTGGCAGTGCTACCACTGTTATTTACTTGCTATTATTATGTATCTATGTAATGCAGGGAGACGAATATGTAACTAATAGTGGGGTAAAGGGAGACATATGTTTGATAAACACTGTTTTTGTATAGTAATTCGACCCCGTTATGTAAGCAGGAATTTCTACAAACAATGTCTGCCCTTTGATCACCTACCTCCGAGTCCGGCCAACTCCTGATATCAATCAACAATCGTTCTGCATGTTATCATTTTGCGTATGTATATATATAGACAGCCAGACAGACAAACGCCCGCACATTCACGGCACTACTACAGACACCACTTGCTTTGTCGCAGGTGTTTTATTGATTCGGTGAAAGTTGGCAGGGTACCGATTGTCCACTTTGTGAGGCGGGTCAGTGAGACAGAGTTTAGGACAATGGCAGTGGTGGTGGTGGTAGCCTTGTTGGAATGATAAGCAAAGTGAATTTATACGTTGGTTTGTCACTGGCAAGTCTTCTATCTGTGGAGTCAGTTTACACAAAGTGGTTCAAGTAGGCAAGTTTCCAAAGTGGTGTTGAACCATCCCCCGTTTTCATCCAGATGGTTGCGCCATCCAAAAATTTCCCTCCGGCTGCTACAATTTCCAGCTTTCACCTGAAATAATTAAGTAAAATCGTGAATGAATATTTCAAATAATTGCCGCAACATTTTGTCCAAAGCGTTTCAGTATCAGTCAAAGAAATCTAACTACACTGTACAAAATAGGTGGAAGGAGACCAATTATCTGTTGAAGTGGGTAACAGCACAGCAGCCATTGAGTGAAATGTATTCATGACTTGGCAGCAGGGGACAATGTGTATACAGTTAGTGGAGAATTTGTATAATACGTTGAACCTATCTGTGCTGCTCCTTCTTGGATTTCGCCAAGTCGAGAAAGTCAATAATTACTCGCCGCCATATAGCTCGCCTTCTTGTAACAATTTGCATGTCATGCACAAATAAAGTGGAAAGCATGAGAGCTAGAAAAATTAAATCGTTATCGAACCGACCGACACATACCTAGCTTCGAATCCGAATAAGGACTATATTCCCTAGGGCCAAAGTCTATGTAGTAGTTTGGACAAAATGGGCGAAAGTACGCACAATAAAATACACAACATAATGTACGTGTTACATTGCATTCCTTGGAACCGTTAACATAGACATCATAAATTTGTTAAAAAATTCTTTCTCATAATTTGCGAAACCTGTTGGTACCACGGCTGTTGAGCCTGTTCGACAAAATCTATATGCACAGCTTAATATTAGTGAGTGATGCAAGCGTCCAGGGATTTACATTTATTTCACACTCTATGCACACACAGCGTCATATCATCCACAGCTTGAATATCTGGTTCAAAGTATGTACAGTCAAATTTAATTTGTGTCCCAAATTCAATACGTCCTGATTGAATTTAAGAAATTTGATACCTAAACTTAAATAAAGAGATTTGAGATGAGCTGATTTGAGAAACGATGAGCCATGATTGAAACCTGATCATCATCATCATGCTCATCATAACTGGATGGATGGGTGGATGAATGAGATTCACTCCACTGGACAAATTGTCATTGACATCCCATCTGTCAACAAAGCGAACGAGTCTATTGCATTCGACTCCATGTCAATTTGGGTTAGCCTCGCATAAGACGACAATGTGAGAGAACAATCTCCGATCAACCCATCTTCAAATGAAATCCTGTTCGGATGACGAACAACAAAGTTAAAGGTGGTCTTAAAGTCATTGATTTGAGACAAAAAGGCAAAATTAGCGAGACACAATCAAAATCAATCCCTCTCTTCCAATGCGAATACAGTAGTACTCTCATATTTGGCTGGTGCTTCAATTCCACCAAAAATCACAAAGTTCTGCAAAAAATCTCAATTGGGCCAAATTCGCAAATACTACAAAGACCTGAAATTACCTTTTCTTTCTCAGTTTAGTTGAGTTGAGGATATTTATACCCAAATGCATAAACCCTTCCTTTTCATTGTGCGCCATATATTTATACTCGTGCAAAGTCTGAAACGTGTGCCGCAGTTATAAGCAGACCTTTAGAAAAACTGACCCTGGTATTATTTAGAAGGGTTCTCTCAAGTTATAATTCTATTTTATGTTACGTCGGCCAAGAGTCGTTCTCGTAGGAGCACGTAAAGTCATGATGTGAAAGTGGTGCAAGCTGACATTGTTCCGTCAATGGTGCAACTCTCCGGCATAAAATCAAGGAAGTCATAATAATATTCCTTCCTTTTAACGGCTTTTATTTAAGTTTAACAACCTGCTTAAAGTGAAGTAAGTGTGTGGCTAAATGAATCAAAGGGTAGAAACCACAAGAAAAGGAGATGATAGAAACTCTGGAGAAATTCAACTATGTATTAACAGAGAGAGAAAGTTTCTTCGTGAGAACCTTCGACCACGAATTTCCCCAATGCTATTCTGCACTCCAAACTAGCAAACCCGAAACAGAAATTAATAATACAATGTTAAAAATTCTTTAAGCCATTCGCTCCTACTAAATTCTCCTTCCCAGCTCTCGGTTGGCAAGTTGGCACTTGTGGTCGAGCTGTGTCAGTCAGATGTTAAAATTTTTATGAACAAGACAATCTACTGCAGCAGTCCATGTTGTGTATGTGTATATAGTGGAATGTGAGCCAAAATACAAAGTTGGATGCGAGCCGGACTTTTTTGAGCTACATTAAGTGTTTCTCGTATCCTGTCCAACTGTTAAACTCGACAAGGAAACCATTGCGACCCGTCCCTGAAATTAAACTTTATTACGTTCCCGTAATCAGTAATTCTCCAACCTCCAACTCGGCGCTAATAATCATCAAGCACTAATTGGTTCCCTCTTCACTTAACATTTAACACCAAAGAGATCTAAATGAAAAGGTGCCAAGTGGGATGAACAGCATCCGTATCAACTCAAATGAGAGAGAAGCACTTCTTCAAACTCCACTTTACTTTTGCCAGATATAATCTTTGGCAAAATGAGATGACCTATAGAGGCCAAAGTTTCCTTCGCGTCGACACACAGCCCAAATTATTATGTGAATGTATGCTCCAGACACGCTGCCTTCTCCTCCTCCAATATGTTCTCGGCAACAAAACCACCAACATTGGATCCTGCCCGCCTGGCTAGCTGTTGGGTGGGTGGAGAACTCTTCTAGCTTTTCCGAATTAAAATTAAGGTTGGTTGTGGTTGGGATGCGATGAAGGAACAGGGTCGGGACATATTGAAACTCTTCTTTTGAAGAAAATTCATTCCGACCCAGTGACCAACGAACGAACTCTCATCTTCTGCCAGTGTCTTCCCCGGCGCACCATCTTTTCCGCAACAGTTCTTCCCTTCTTTATATAATTTGAAGTTATATCATGAATAACATGAATTTTTGTGAAAAGTCTTCCTCACAGCATACAAAGGATAGCAAGCAGGACCAAGGAAGAATGTTTATTTGAGGACGAGAGTAAAAAAAAACTCATGAGGTTCAATATCACCACAGATTTCTATGTAAGTCTGCAGCACTGTTATTAAAGTTGTGTTGTCGTACACTCAAACCGAAGAACTATAGTCAAACGCGAAAAGTTATGTTGGAAATGATCCACAAATTTTATCTATCAAAGTCCAAACTTAAAATGTAATGAAACTGTTGTGGATAAAGACAGGGAACAAGATGCTTTCTTCGTTATTGTGCGTTTGCATTTTGCCCCATAAGAAATGTCCCCCTGCTGCTGCTGCTGAGATTTCTTTAACCGTAAACCGGAATGCAAAACTAACACAAATTATAACGTGTGACTATATATGCATCCATTTTGGAGAGAATACACGCTACGGGATACTCTGTAAAAGTTGTCTCCTCACACGAAGATGAGATTCTGCAATTTTTGTAAGCTACTAGTGTGATTCCTGCAGCTTACAATTGGTCACGTTTCTAAAATCCAGTTCCTGACTGAACTACATGGAGCGTTCATACAAAGTCGGTTCATTTTTCTTAAAAAAATGTTACACTTGTCATGTCAAATCTTCTCGTTTTTGCATTCAACCTGCGACAAGGAGGAAACCGTAATAGCGACAAGCGTAATAGTCACCATAGTTCCCATTCACGTCCTTGCAGCTCTTCAGTCTTCACCGTGCTCAGGTTTTAGATATTCAGCAAAGTCCACTTTTCTCCAGGAAGAACACAACATGCTCGAGTACTTGTTATATTCCGGCCGGGTCCAGATTTTTGCTCAGCGTCAGCGTCAGCACTATCAGCGTCAGTGGTTACCAGAAACGACTCTGCTTGGCCGTAGTACAGAGTGAAGAAGAAGGCGATGATTTTTATTTCTCGTCAGCAGTTTAACAAATTAAATGACTAGAGCCCCTCTCCTACCAAAGATCGGGCAGGGTAATATATTGTGGCTGCCCCAACCAGCTCGAGACATTGTGTTATGATCATTTTTATTATTGCTCTGCCCCAAAATGGGCTCCTTCTTACTTATTCCCCATTATTACGTTCGGTTGTCGGCTTTAGTTTAGTTGGCTCAAATGCAATTTGAGCATCTATCCTGCTCCCATGCTAAAATACCACTCATACTCCGTCCATAATTTATGACAGGAGGTTCAACTACTACCACTTTCCTTCTCACAACTCAAGGGGCGACGACCAAACTAAATAAAAGTCATTCCATGCTTGCATACATTACACCAGTGCACAATGACTTTTTTAGTCATTTTCCGTGGTGCAAAGTGGTGGTGTGGCGATGATCTTGGCAATTAAGTGATCAGTAATGTGATGCTGGGTATAAGCCGAACGAGGAAAATACATAATGATGGCCAATAAATTTTATAAGAAACATGTCATTACACAATACGTGTTGAGATATTTAGTACAAAAAATAATAATTTTATTGCACGGTTCGGACATGGCGAGTAAGTAGGTGCGTAGCTCATTTTCTTCTTACACAATGTTCAATCCAACTCAAATTCCCAGCTTTTTATTAGTTACTTGGTTGGAACAATGACACCAGCAAAGTCGTTGTTGCCACCTTTGTTCTTTTCATGCTGGTCGTAAAATAGGTTTTGAATTTCATTATGACGTATAATCCCTAATCACATTTGATATTTATTTTCTCATAAAGCACGCAAATGAGGCTATCAAATCAACTGGTGAATAAAGTGGGGCATAAAACCTGTGGTGGTAATGGCCAGCACCTTTCAGTAATAAATATGTATGCAGCATATAGTAATGTAATGCATACATGAGGGCAAGTGTTTAAAGGGAAAGAGAACGCGTCGCCATTAAAAGTTTCAATCGCATATTATTATTATCTACAGAATCAAAACTAAAATCGAAATGTGCCCTGAGCTACATACATTATTTACAAATCCGAGTATCTACAATTTTATACTTTCGTGGATGCAGGCATATATTTCAAACGCATGGGTTTAATGTTGTAAAGTAGGCGAATGGGAGGAGAAGTACAAACTATAAAGTTTGGGTGGCAATCCATGTAAAAGTTGGATTTCCCTTTAGATTCTCTAAGATTGTACAAAACCTACAATAAAATACAATTTGATATTTTGTAGCAGCTTTTACCCTGTCTGTTACAACATGTATGAAGGTTACATATACACAAATACGACAACTGATAATTACTATAATGGTTAGCCGAGGATAAAAAGTCGGATAATGGGAGAAAATAATACGATCGGGGTACATATAACAGCAAATACTCCACCCAGAAAAGATTGAAAATTCTTTAAAACCTACTTTGCACTGAAATTGACTGACAATTTGAAACCTAAGATAAAAAGAGAGACAACATTCCCGGTTCTACAAGTGAACTATCATCAACATAAATTTGCAATAATCGTTCAACCCAAGAGTTGACAACACGTGAGAAGTGTGCATCGATTTTATTCAGTAAAAAATCAATGTTCAAATTTATGAGCGAGTTTTGCTGACCACTTAGCCAGAAATTGGCAAATGGTGCAATAATTAACGGTTATTATGCCTGGTAGGAAATTGCTAGAATATGTCACTCTTATCGACGAAATTAAGGGAAAAATTAAAGCGACAACTCAGTGGAAAGAAAGTAGAGAAAGTTGAATAACTGCTAAATCGAGCCAAAGTAAATTATCCTCTCGACTTAAAATGACTTATGAAGTGCAACATGTCAATAAAATTGTCAGGAAACTTTGTTGTGCTGCCCACTTTTGTAGGCAAAGTTCAATCCAAACTTCATGTAAACCTCATTAAGTAACATTAATGCTGATATGTTGTGCATTTCTTGAGGTGGACAAAGTACCTACATACCCACATATATCCGTATTTGTCCGTATGTGTACCTATATGTACATATGTAATTGAAGGATTTCTCAATAAAACTCACGACTTACTTACATATGCACTTTGCTTATAGGATGTCGATAATACAACAAATAATAATGAAACGTTTGTTTACCGTTTCCCGTAAGTGCGTTCGAAAGAAGTGAATTATCGAATTAAGAGAAAGAAAAACAACATAATGCTAATAACACGTGGAGTGAAATTGGAGTAATGTATATCATCTTGCAATTTGACAGAAATTCATAATATGACCCACTCCGAGCACAACCTGCAAGAATATCACATCATGATGACAGAACGCTATAGAAATTTTCGACATGTGTCCCTTGAAAAAAACGCTAAATCTTATCTTGTTAACAAAAACATCCCAACTTGGTTAGAAGCACAAGTAAATTTTTAATTTGTCCACACAAAAGTCCAAACTAGAGCAATGACAATATATCTTTTCACTACTTGCTTCTTCTCCATGACCTCGATCCACACACAACGCTAAATAAATGCATTTGTGAGAAAAGAGTAATATCGTTCACAGCAAGTTCCCCCGAAAGCATGAAAAAGTTTTTGCAAAGAAACTGAAAAATTTGCAACTTCCTATGCCAGCAGTTAGAGTCAGCAATGGAACAATGCAATGCACGGAGCAGGAGAGGAGAATGAACAAGAAGAAGCAAATAAAAGTCAGTCGTAGCCTGGTTCACCCGTATTTTTCGCCCTTGTTGAGTGGCACATGAAACTCGGTGCCCCTTTTTTATCCCCACGAGCAAGAAGATCCTATGCACAAGAAGAGCTATGTGTGTTTATGTACCAAACTAACCAATGTTTGATCAGGACATAGCTAACGAGCCAAAGGTGGAAAGAAATAGCGGTGGTGGTGGTGGTGGGAACGGAGCAAAGTCTGACCAAAAAGTTCGGACTTTTGACTTTCTTCAAATGAAATTAAGTCACAAATTACGCCCCGAACAAAGATGCCAGTTTGTCAGAAAGGTATTTTCAGCATTCGAGTTGGCGTTTTATTTGCAAGCCATGTCAGAAGAACATTGCAATATTTGCAAGAAGTACATAAGTGCACGAATCTCGGTTTTGTTTGTAATATTGCAAAATCTAAAATATGCCCACATGTACCCACCCAGATATATCAGGAAACGTACATAAAGAAGATGTCACAATCAGGCGGCGTGTAACATGTAAATTTGTTCATGTTTGTTTCTTATCAAGAACAACATTTTCTACTAGTGTCGTGACTGATATAATAATAATTCCACCAAGATTTAATAAGCCACCACCCTAATTCTAGTTTGGAAAAGTGTTATGAAACCTCCAGCCTCATTGTGGCTTGTTTCACCACGATTAGGCTTTTTTGTATGGATAAACGCTAGATAGTCTCGGGTAGTACATACGCAAGTACATAAGATATTAAGAAGACTTACTTACCAGGGAAATAGTGCTTCAATTTTATCTTAATCCAAAACTTCAGAACTTATGAATAATTATGTTATAATTATGTTACACTAATGTCACATACCATACCAAACTATATTAGATTAAATTAGTCTAATTTTACACTCTTCAGTTTCCTCTGTTTTCAGTTATGTACACTGTTTTCAAGTACTCTCTTCTTCCCAACTTTATCCTGTTCTCACGCACTGGGCAGCACTCGAAACAAATAATTTCATCAAAGATATACACTACCCGTCTTTTGGCTATTTTACTCTGCCTGAAAAACTAACGCAATAAACCCAGGGGCAGGTTAATACTCTCGACACAAAGCCTTGTTGAAGTGCGTTAGTGGGGTGATTTTGGCCGCGTCGATTGCACAATTTTCATCGATTTTACCCTGTCGTTATTAATGTTTTTGTGTATTGTTGTGAAGCAATTGGCAGTGTGTATTTAGACGGTCAAACGACGATAGTGCTGTTAACTGACACTATACCCTCACGAGTTTTTGTACACCGTATAACCAGTTTAGTTTGTTCTGTCACTCACAAAGGTTTACACAGAAATCTCTCATTTCCCATTCTCAAACTGTATCACAATTCCTTCATTAATTGGTTTTCCCTTATTTAACTTCACACTGAAACAAAACACTAATAAGTTTCTCGAGCCAAATAATATTTTTTTTGTACCAGGTTCAAACGACGGTAGAATTTCTAAACACTCTCTGGTTTTATGGAAATCCTCTTACTTGCACTCGAGATTTGGAAATTGTACCTTAATTGTTTGTAGCGTTGTTGAGATTTTGTAACCATGTATTTTGTACTGGGGCGAAGAGCTTGGTTTTTTCCACAGGTAAATAATACCGTATTTATTTGCCTTGTAAAATCTTTTTGGTTTCTTCGTGATGGGGAAAATGGTATTGGTACTCCAACCCAACAAAAGCTGTCCTCTCACCACAGCGAGAACTACGAAACTGAGCTGTGGGGCCGATGTGGTTCCTCTTTTCTTCCTTTCTCACTCGACGAGTAGCTCTGAAACTGGCTGAAACCAACCACCTCACTTTTTATGAGATGCAGCAATTCCTCTTGGAACGAGGGTGAGGGAAAATTCGGAAAGACACCCTTCGACCTGCAGATTTCCCATTTTAAGCAAGTTGGATAATGTTCGTAACAGTGAGTGCATGTTTAAAGATTTATAATTTTTGATAAGATAAAGTTGTGGATATTCTACTCATTTGTCTCACATGGCACTGACTGAGAATGTGCAGTGAGACCTAGTTCAGGTAAGCCTACTAAAAATTGTGTCATCGTGGTTCAAGTAGAAAATCTGATTCGATTTCTATATTTTGAAGATTAAATTTGTCTCTTGCACTTTTTGTTGCATTTTCGATCGACGCAACATTTTCGTCTTGAAAAAAAATTCTTTTTCCATGGGGCAACTCTCCATAGAATTAGCATGAGAAGAAATCCAAATCAAATGGACTTGGTCGATAATTTGGGTGAGGATTATGTATTGCTTTGCTGCATTTCATAAGTGATCTAAATACGTAGAGAAATTCTCTGCATTTTCTTATTTTCCAGCAGCAGCAGCAACCTACACAGTTGAACTGACTAAGGAGCGCCTGTAGCCTGACCAATGTTGGTAATTAAGGGTTGTCATCCGCATTCATGGGAGAATAGATGGATGATGTATCAATACCAGAAATTGATAAACTGCGTTACCTTCAGGCACAAGTGTGTAGTTGTGTAAGTTGTTTGTTAGATTGCTTGTTTATCTTCCAGCAGGAGCATAAATTCTTGTGTGAAGTCACTTAAAAATACAATCAATTATTTCATTTCTGTTAAGCAGTCAAACAAATTAAAGGGCATTTGGATGTTGAGCAGTAGTTTTTTCCTCTTCCATTTCTTTCTCCCATCAAACAACTACATGCCAAGCTCAAGTAGTCGAGTATGTTGTTGCATAAAAAAACTGAAGAGCATCACTTCAAAATTTCAAGTACGAAATGGTAAAGAATACACAAGCAAGAAGCCTTTTGCTTGACAAAGCATTTTAGTTGAGCGAGTTTATTTCAACTTTAAGTGATCTTTTAACTTGTGTGAAAGCCTGGAATAAATAGTGGAAAAGTTGTTCGTAAATTTAAAAATGTAGAAAAACAACAAACCCACCAATCGCTTCTTGGTTGGTTTGTGCAAGCATACATAAGTCAAATGCCACAATATTAAATGTGCAGTAAGATTATGATTTTTGATTTATCAAGCTTTTAATCTTTTAATCCTTTTGATTCCTCCATCCATTTGATAAAATTATTGCATTGTTGTCAATGTTGATGGCTGGTCGTACTACGTTGTAAAAGAGTTATTATGCAATACATCAGTGTTACGAGCACTACGTTACTCCTTCTTGTCCGCTGATTTACAAGTAGTTGTTATCAAGAAGAAGAAGAAAAGGAGCAACATGTCTTGCAGTTCGAAATGAGCTATTGAGTTGATGACAATCATAAATTAAATATGGAAGTCGCGTTTTCCACGACTGTGAGCAAGTTCAAGTTAATCTCAAGCCCAGGTATTTGGCTACCTTGCGCCAGGAGGAGTGCACACCAACAAGTGTAAAACTACATTGGAATTAGGTATAGAGGACCTCGAGCTATGGTATAATCATGCCTTGAACATTTTACACCTTTATCATTTCACTTGTTGGTAATGTGTGCTTGCACCCAGAATTGTCATTCCATGAATGGCAGTTAGTTCCACAAGTAATATGTGCGACGGTGGTATAACAAACAACGAGTTTTATATAATACGCAGAAAGAGAGAGAGAGCATAATTCTCTTGTTGTGATTAACTTTCATTTATTCTTCTCCTTAAACCTCCTTGCTCAGACTTATGTCCGAGTGGTTCTGCTGCTATAAAAGGCGAAATTGTATATTTTCGAATTAAACCCAACTAATAAAATGCTACACGGGTTGAGCAGCAAAGACATTTAAATTGCGTAATGCTAATAGGACCAAGTCCACCAAACCAACTCGTTCCGTTTGAAAAAACAAACAGACAGGACAACAATTTTATTTAACTTTGCTGACTTTTACAAACAAACCAAATGCCGTATTTATTACTCCGATACGATAAAAGTTTATTTAACTCTGCTGTCAATTTTAATTTCAAGTTGACACTGGCTGCTTTTTTGGCGTTCCTCTCTCTCTCTTTCCATATTGGTTTCAGAGTGAAGAAGGAAGTGAAAAGTGACTGACTAAACTAAAGGATGTGTCCAGCTGAAAAACCGTGTAGTTTAAGTTGCAACTATGGAATTTGTATAGGATCAAATGTGTCAACCGCTGGGGAACAACGGAACTTACTTAAAACCAAGTGAAGCAATTTTATTGACAATCAAACTACTGTCCAGAGAAGAGCAGAGTTACTTTATGTCTTTTCAAGTGACCATTTTCCTCACGCTAGCAGAGAGAAAAGAGAAAAGAAGACGAACAATTGTCCAGCAGCACTCCAACAAACTAACTGCGAATAAGTTTTCGTGTCAAAAAGAACAATGACGACGAAGCTGCTGGCAAACTGTCATACCTTTTTGACAAAGCTGTCTCAGCGTCAACCTTCAGAAATAAATATCTCACTTTCTGCTAACTCTTTCACTTGCGACAGATACAGTCAGTCAGTCGTCCGTCCATCCATCCGTCCATTCATCTCGGTGTAGTGTGCATTACATAAATACCAACCTGAATTACAGTCTGTCCACTAATTTCCACTTTGAGATAAATTATATAGGTAACCCTCACAGTGTTTGGAAATTGCGACGTGTATGTATTTCGGGTCGGTCTAAAAAGTGTGCTCAGTCTCACCATTGTTGTTTAATTAAGATCATAATGGACACTTTCAGGTGCAGTTTGAGACAAAAGGTTCAAGTTTGTCAACTATTATTAGTGTATTGTTAGTGAAGCAAACAGGATTAAAAATAACTGTTGTTCATTAATCAAATTAGGTAGTGCATTTCATAGCTGAGATGCATTATGCAAATTTTTGATGAGTCGGTTTCAAGTTCTTTGTTTTCTATCTATCACACGATAATAATAGAACAAACAAGAGTCGATGAAGAACGGCATTTTTCCTCAAATCTACGGCCCGATTATGGCGACAGACCCAAATAATAATAAAGATATCAAGATTTTTTCACGAGTTAAATGGAGATAGAGGAAATTTGATATGGGAGAAGAAGAAGCTGGATGGAAGGTTTTTCAGCCGTTTGGCTTTGGTTGGGTTGAACTTGGCAGGACTTGAAAGGTAGGCAAGTTGATAATGTCACTGATTGTATACGATTATGTATTCTGGACGAGACTGCTGAGATCTTTTCCAAAACAGACTATTCACTCGCTCACACGCTCATCGGAGGAAAGAACGAGCGAACGAACCCTGTACGAGAATCCAGAAGAAGTAGAATCAATTGTTGGCTCGGTCCAAGTATATTTTCAGCCTCGCTTCCTCTCACTCTTCAACAGCAATGGGTATTTTTGTCACAAATCAGTAGTCAGTGCTGGTCGTGGTATGTAGTTTCTCTTGTTGGAGAATATTTGTTCACAAAACAATACGTTGAATATCTTGCGTTTAGAAAAATTGAGATTCCAGTCCAACAATTGCATTGCGTTGAATTAAGAAAATGACCATCTTCATCACAATCAAGTCAGTGAGAGACCAAGTTTGGTTGGAAATCTAATCTACGTTTGTTCCTTGGCTTGATATATTTCGATTCGTTTTTCTGCTGCCAAGTAAGTGCGTTCCCTGTCCTTCCTTACGCATTCTTATGGCAGTCCACATATGTACATTCGAAAACGGTAGTGACACGGACATATTAACCATTTCTTCATTTTACTGACTGGTTTGTTCATTTTCTGCCTTTGTGCAATTGCTTGTTTTCACCTTTGAATCACTTATTCACATCCTTACGGACTTGCTACTTTTGATTAATCAAGAAACTGCGTGGTTATTTATGACATCGTCAAACGGCTTCCAATACATAGTCGTGTATGTACTGGGAATGGAATGGTGGTTCAAAAAAATTGACAAGTGGGTGGAAATTGAGTACTCTACTTTGCTCACTCAAATAATACTGACAATAATGGGTTGATGAAAATACCTTTCTTATTAAGCATGTCTGCGATCCATGGAATTATAATACGCAGAAAGGAATGCCCCCGTTGGTTAGAGAGGTATGCAGGTATGTATTTTATTGAAATACCAAGAGTTGCAAATAAGTAAAATAATGTCGTTTGAACTTAATAGACATGACCAATTTCGAACAGTTTTGCACTTTTCTTTTGCATTTTCAGATAAATTGGATTTGTACCCATCAGCCAACCATAATCTATTCACGTTACCTACACCACGGACAAAATTTCCCTTGACAGGAAATGCTGGAGAAACAGATAAGCGAGAGGGTGCTTGATAAACCCGACAAGTCAGTGATCCCTTTGAAATCTGTCACATTTGGAAACGTGGTTGACAGTTTGAACCGTCATTATGGAAACACTTCTGTTCCCAGATTTTTTGTAGCGAGTCATTTGCATTGTTCACATACGGCTCCTCAACTACTTAGGAAACTGATCCGCTTTGGCATCAGGCACAGCCGTAAATTTTATTGTGGTCCATGCTCACTTGGACTCACCTACTAATGTCAACACCCGTCGTCGTTGGGAGAGAAGCACGCCCTCCATAATTTTGAAGAATGTCTCACACTGCAAAGATTCATTTCCTTACGACTTCCACCTCCAGCCAGCCTAATAACAATAATCACCCAGCCCCACATTTTTGGCAAATGAACAACACAATGAAAAGGTATTTGATGGTATATACACACATGTGTATATCGCGGTTGCTTATATGATAATGTGCACATACATACCAAATTTTTGTTATCTGTGCACCGGATGGATATCATATTTCTAACTGAAACAAAAATTTGATAGTAAATAAACCGAGACTCGCACACACATGTTACAAAGTTAAATATGAACTTCATACTTAACTCAAATTCTAAGCCTTCAAATTTTGGTCGATAGTTATTAGTTTCTCTTAAGACGTCTATATAAATTTGTAATGTCAGAAATTATGCGGGGTAAAAATATCCGTAAAAATAAACGCTTACAAATTTGTAATTTACAACTCATGGCATGTTACATTTCTTTCCTATTCGAAGATGGCTTTATAACCGTCATACTTCAAAAGTAGTTGCAACCATGCTCACCCAATATTTTTTGCCTATAAAATGAAATGAAAGTAATAATGTTACCATTAAATTTTCCGATTCCTAATTTCGTAATGCCCGATAAATAATTGCATGCCATCGTGACAGATTAATAGTATAAAATTGAAAAAACACTGCAGACTGTATGCATATGTCTGGCGATTTTGTGTGTGCCATATAGGAAAACCAGTCCTGCATGTCTACATGTTCAATATGACTTATTTAATTTTAGTATAAGTCATTGGCATCTATAAATAAAATGGAATAAAATGATAGCATCCAAACTCTAAGAGTATTGAGCAATCAGCAATATTTGGGAGCGGTCTGCAATTTGCCTGTTTTCAGCAGGAACAAAGTGGTAGGCGAAATTGTGTTGAGAAAAAGTAAACATGGTTAGTGGCCGTTCTGTGAAAGGGTGAACGAAAGGGAAACGGAACATGATCACGAAACGATATCAATCAAGAATACGACTCGAGCTAAACGATTCTATTTCATGTTTAGCATTTGTCGATTAAGACTCCGCCGTTTGTTCCGATTGTGGCGTCGTTTCCCTCAGTTTAACAAATGTCAACGTTTTCTTCAAAAATCTCTTGGGGACGAAATGTTGTAAAATAATTTAGTAATTTATTGCACAACACTTACCCACGTGACGAAATATGTGAATGGGCCAAAATGGATTTTTGCATGAAAACTTCATACTCCTTTTACCCTCCTCTTAACCTAGAGGAATAGAGACTTTGGGAGGCACATCAACACGAATTTGCAGCATTTGTACGAAACAAACAACAAACCCTGGCGACACTGTTACTGCCTTCAATGAGTGAGCGATTGGATGAAATTCGGGGTTACAGTGCACTATTTGAGCTTGGTTTGAATGCAAATGATTACGATTACGTGATATGGTGATTACTTGTATTATGTTATCATGTACAACGAAAAAATACAATTTGCAGTGGGTGCCTAGTGTGGCCTTTTCCTCCGGGCTTTCTTTTTTCTTCCGTCTTTCCCCAAGCAGTGATTATACTTACTAATTGCACTTTTTACCTGTGCAAAAGGTGTTATCTGCCCTCAAGTTGGTTCACATACGTTCGTAGCATGAGAAATTATGTGTATGCGTGATACATATAGACATACATACGTAGACCACCAAATCACACAACTACCTACGTACGTACACTCCTCATAGTTCACTCTAACACATTGCTGCCTGGCACCCAGTCATTACGCAGTCATGTTATTCTTTGTTTTTATTTATTTTAACCCTGTTCACTTTTTATAATGACAAATTTGTGCATATACCAAATGCACGCATGGATTGATTCGCCGTCCATGCAGCTAAATAACTCAGGTTGTTTGTAATTGTGGTAAATTTACTGCTCTTTATACTCGGGAAAAAACATTTGTGTGATGTAAGTAAAGACGTAATTTAAAATCCGTAATACATAGTTGGAGCTGGATAGATGGAGGAATGTCATGGGATGGAATGTTTATTTTGAAACGTGTCATAATACAAAGTTGGGGAGTGATTGAGTTCCTAAACACATCCTAACTGCGCGTATTGTCAGGCTAATATTACATTTTTACTCAAATCAGTTTACATAAAGCTGAGAATAGGATTTGCAAAAACGAACAAGAGGTATTTCTTAATTACACAAGCGCCAAGTTTGCTAACTGCTAAAGGGTGTCGACCTCTGCGAGAAGACGGTCTGTACAAATTGAACCTGTGAGTTTATCTTGGCAAAGTTTATTTGAGTAACAATGCAAGCGAAACTCGTACAAGTTTACCCATTAGGATGGAGGAGATCGTGCAAAATTAAATAAATCCTGTAAATTCTTCTATATTTCACTTTTGGATTTGGTTGATTCATCTTCGTCGGCAAGAAGGGTACAGACAGTGGTCAATGAATAAGCAATGAATGGAAAATAGTACCCAGGGACTTGATCGAGCCGGCAGTAGCATCAATTTTTAATTCCAGTGTTTCGTACAGCTCTGTAACAATACTGCTTTTCTTCTCCAGTTGTTGGATTGGTGGGGTGTATTTTAAGGAATTGTCAACCGATGCCACATATCCACCATTCACCTCCAGTCTTGCTATATGTGCTTCTTCATTATGGCAATAACAACATCCCTGAAAGGTTCTTTCTATAGCCATTTGTTCAAAGTGTAAAACAACAAATGACGACATTCTCAGCTTAGCAAGCTTGCACTCTTCATCTTACAGAAATACATACAGATGTTGGTTCACAGCATTTGACATTCTACGCTTACTTACAACGTTACACTTTTTCATTCAGTAGAAATAATTACAATTTGATGTAATGACGGAGCAGAAATTAATTGAGTTGCTGAAGTAAAAAGGAGCACGAGAAAGCATTTTTTTGGTGTGTTGATTCTAAATATGTGTGTTACGTATGTTATGTATGAACATGCATAAATAGTCCAATTATGGTTCAACTTTTTCAGAATGGAATTGAAGCACGCATCTCAATTCAGCTAAATTTGGTTAAAGAAAAGTCAGTGGTTTGCTAGTCAAGTGGTAAACTCCAGAAATCGGAATGACTACTTGTAACAATAGAATGCAACGAGGTGAATTATGGATTAATAAATGAAGTCATCCAATTTTCGAGTTTGTGTGATGCATGGTAATCAACTTACATGATGGATACCACACTTTGCTGAGGGTGAATTGAAAGTGAAATAAGGATCACTTGACTATAGTAAAAATGAACTATTTATTACTTACTCCAAGTCATATAGGACATAAGTTAAATATTATTATGATAAATAACCAGCCATCACAAATGACCACGTTTGAAAACCTCTTTATCAAGTATTCTGTTTTGTATGACTTTCTGCAATTTATACAGGGCAAATTTTTCATCGAAAAATTCTCTTTAATATATGAATAAATAAGCAAGCCGTGTTTTAGCGAAATCGGATTTCAAACCCATATCGTACGTATTGGAGATGCCGTTATGCTTTACCATTTTCCACCACGTTGTAGGAGATCGTTACCCGAGTCAATGAATGACCTTATTAGGACGACCAGGGTATTGATGTCGTACGTACGAATTGTTGGGAACAGTGTACTAGAGTACACCCTATTAACGTCAGCACAGGCGATAAAACCCGTAATATGTGTTTATTGGGAATTGAGATGTGGATGGGAAAAGCGTGGGTACGGTTCTCGTAGGGAACTTTTTAAGTTAAATTAAACCGTACGTCATCTTCCCTCCTCGCCTAATTTCAACCTCTACTCGTAACCTTCACGCTGGTAGAAAGGATTTCAAATTTCATTGAAATGATTTGAAAGAGAGAGGAATGCTTCCTTCGGAACCCCACCGCTTCATTATGAGCTTCTGCCTCCTCTCAGACTATTTTGGTTCCCGTACACACTCGCATTTCATTTTTATCTGAATTGGACCCAAACCCAGTCCAGTGGCACACACGGAGCAATAAAATAACCATCAAGCGTCTCACTTCCCCAGCGCAGTACCCATCGCTGAGGACACTGATGAAGGGACGGGTCGCGGGCGGGCAGGCTGGTGTTGCGCTCATGGACAGCGCCGAATAAATGTAGCTAGTGCGACATTATTTCAGATACGACATATTTTCTCAACTCGGCGTCGCTGTCGAATTCGCCCCTTAAACTACAGGTCGTCGCATCAGTATCTCCCACAAGTCATGTTTCATACGGTTGATAATTCTGCTCCGTGTGCATATCTTGGCCTGGTTGATCCGTGAATATTGGTTTGAACGGAGAAACGAGCTGTATGGAGTGTCCCACATTGTCCAAGATTATATCATCAACATCGTGGTATTATTATTCGGCAGCTGAATGACTCTGGTATTTTCGCTTTTTCAATAGGGAGCATTATTATACTTAAACCGAATAAAGGCGAGATGTCGGATGTTTTGATCATCGGTGGTGGAATGGATGGTGAATGCTTTAGGATTCGAATTTTATTACCAACTAGCAAACCCTTTCCTTCATTTTATGTTGTCTATATTGGACTTCGCACTGTGAATTCACAATAGGTTTGTCCCAAGGTTCGAGTAGTTTTTTCATCTCGAAACTTGAAATGAGTTCTCGTGTGTGTATGTGTGTGGCTTGATTTGGCTGGGTTCTCATCGTCGAATATCGTGGAATATATGTAGTTGCTGTTGAGAGTGAGAGATGAGAAGATACGATTGGTTGATGGAGGCTGGAGTCCTATCAGGAACACAGGGATATGAGTGATACAGCTATTTATTTTTATTTGCGTTATTTATTTCTCCATTCGAAAGGACCAGTATGTATGAAATGGGAATAATGGGGTTCAAGTGCCTACTGGACAAAATAAATCAAATTGTGACTGAGTTAATATTAAACTAAATTGTAAAATGATTTATGCTCATGAATGGGAACTAGGCGTGTATTTAGCGTCCTTAATAAATTACCGATCTTGGACCTAAATTGAATCAAAGGGCAGTAATGCGCCATCTCATCCTCATTTACAGTCAGGCCAAGAGTTTCGTTGGATATGGAACTGGTTAAAAATGTGTAAATGGTCCAGTTTCTAGTTTTTATTCCCATTACTATATACGTCATTTGGGATGATTCAAATTTATTTATCCCAAGTCTTCAAAAGCAAATAAAATCTTTATACAACTTGTAATTGTTGGCTTAAGAGACGGACTTTGTTATAAATGTTGTTATATGATGCTCATCCCTTGCAAAACAATATTTATGATTACTATAAAATTCCATATCATTTTTGCAGCAGTATCTGGGCCTACAAACCAGGTACCCCTCTCGTCGTTGTCATCTACTCTTGGAGGAGATTTATGATTATGACAATACGTTTTCCAACAGTAAATTGCTGGCAGCTGGGGTGCGGTTAACATATCCACCTCACCAAACGACTTCTACAT